TTTCATCTACTAGCCCACCTACTAATGGAAACTACAATTGGCGAGGCTACAACAATATGATTGACCAGAATTCTCAACAAAATGGTCATATCACAACTTGGAGTAACGCAGTATCTGACTATCCGGGAATGCTTGGTTCGGGAATGTCCAATGGATCCAATCACATGACAAACAGAAGTGGCAACAATTTCCCATACAGTATGTCTTTAGGTAGTATCCCATCTTCATCTTCCAACAGCTCAGCTAGCATTTCGCCACCTCAAGATTTCTTAAACGACAATCCATTCTCAAGCCACAATCTATCTAACCCTTTTGGGTCTCAGCTCAACAGCCCACATCTCAGGAGCTTGAATGATCAAGATTTCTCCAGCTTTTCTCTTTTGTCCACTGCATCATCGACACCCACCAAAGGAAGTCTGGTTTTGGGCAATTTATTTCAGTCTCCTAGCAACGTCACCTCCAGTCTGACCAATAGTCTGATGAGTAGCAATGAAGGAATTAATGGTTTTCAGGCTTTAATGCAAGATGACCACTGTTCCAGGCAAAACTTTTCATCCCTGGGGTCCTTTGCAGGAAGTTTGGTGGAGTCTGGATTATTTTCAGGACACATAAACGGTTTCCCCAGTGGAAATTCCAGCCCAACCAGTAAGAGCTGTTCTCTGAGTGATGCTTCAGGTTCTCACGGCTCCCCAATCCCGAGGTTGTGTAAGATTTGCGAGGAGGCTGAAGTAGTAGCTGCTCTTGTACCTTGTGGTCACAATCTTTTCTGCATGGAATGTGCAGAAGGCATTGTTAATAAGTCAACAGATACAGACCGGAGGTGCCCAGTATGTAAAGATACTGCCTCGGACGTTCTTCGCATTCGAGCATAGAAATGTAAAGGGTTGGGCATTTTTTTTTACCTGGAACTTTGAAGTTTTTTTGGGGGGGGGGAGAGGACACATTTTTATAACTTTTCTATCAAAGGTTTAAAAAAAATTAAGAGGCTGATTTTTATGTATAATGTGTACATTGCTTATTTACAAAGATACACGAGTCACTGTTTAAGTCAATTCTTAGATTATTTTTAATAGAAAAGTTATAAATAAGCTTAAAAAAATTTAGATGAATTTTTGTTGTAGGTACAAAATAATTTTTAAAAACATTAAAAAAAAAAAAAAATAACAGCCTCTTTCTTGTCATTAAGAATTTCAAAAATTATTTTGATACTTAAAAACTCTTCCAGTATTTTCAATCTGTACATAATCAAAATATCTTCAAAGCAACCAGTTTTATGATGTTCAAAATTGTTTATTTGGATAGGACATCCAATGGATTAGGTCTAGTAAATTTAGTGGGAAAAAATGGAAACTTTTTGTTTTATTATGAACAATATTTTAGATTAACTTTTCTTTTGGCTCAGGAGGTAAGGAGGAAAAAAATTGTTTCTGCTTAAAGAAATTTATTCACCTGAATTTTTTTTTATTTTAAAGAGAACAATGTAAAGTGAAGCAGTTTTAAAGACATTTTACCCTTACACTTTTGTTTTGTTTTAAATTTGTTTCCCCATTATTACAAACTTTTCTAGAACACCCAAGTTGTCATTTTAATAACATGGCATTTTTTTTTTTTGAAAAAGCTTTTTATCACTGCATTTCCTTAGTGTTATTAATGACTCTAACAAACAGCATGAAGCAGCAATTGAAGATCACAATCAGACAAGTTTATTATCATAGTGCATTATATTTTTGTACTCAAATTATGCCTTGTGGTGTATGATTCTTGTTAAATAGGATTATCATCCTTACTGCTTTAGATAACAGATGTAATATAACAATATTTTGTTACATGGAATCTCATCTGCACATACAAAATTATGTAATTATGACATGTATGTTGTGTTAGATTTTTTTGTAAGTATATTTCTTTTTAAAATTTGCACAAATTGCAGTATGTATTGCATTTGGTGGTTAAACATAATGTAATATAACATCAACTGAATAAAACTGAATGATTTAAACTTTAAATGTTATTATAGTTGTAGTAAATTTAGCCTGCCAAATTATATTTATAACATAAATTTAATATAATAAAAAAATATCTATTATAAAATGTTATATATTCGAACTTTCCATATATTACCTCTTGCAATTTTTTTTTTGTATTTCTTTCAAATCTTTGAAACACATGGAAAACATTTTAGACATTTTAGACTCGTTACTCAACCATCTTTTCTTGTTTTCTCAATTGCATAATCTTGATCAAACGTTGTTAAATGTTTGAAGCAAACATTTTTTTCTGACTGTTTCATTCCAATGACAATAACTTTATGAATCAACTATGACCACAAATCTATGAATCAAAGTTTAATATGCAAATTTTTTTTTCTTAAATGTAATTCTATTTTCCTAGAATGTCTTTAAAAACTAAACAAAAATTATTATATTTTAACTTTTCAGTAATTTTGCTCAGTTATTTGAAAATATTATTTGTATTTCCTTTCCATGTATTTTTTTTTAAACCATGAAAAGGAAAGAAGATACAAGTGACTTGAAAATGTGAATGTACATGTCTAGACTATAGACTGTAAGAACACTATTAAAGGGATCAAACTATTATTCCTTGAGATCTGACTGTAAATTGTATTTCTCTTTCACAAATCTGTATTTATAATAAGTATGTAAATGTCTTCAGTAAACAAAACAATATTTATTACATTTTGTAAATATATTTAATACAAGAATGTCTTCAGTCATTCAGCAGACCAAATAAGGTACAAGGAACTGTAAAACCAATAATCCAAAACTATTTCCTTATCCAATATTTCTTGCATCATATTGCTTTTCTTTTCACACCCATCACATGCTTTATATCTACACTTATTTATACTTGAACTATTTATATATTTGCAGAACAAAATTTATGAACAAACATCAGTACAATTATTTGAACTTAAATATGCAAAAAAGAATATTTTTTTCTTTTTCCACACAAATCTCTAATGAATGAAACTTACAAAGCTAAATGTCTATATTTGTATTTAAAGATGAAATGTTTTGTCATTATATTATTACACACCTTCCTGTAATAAATGCCTAGTGGCTTCATCATTTGTTATAATGGAAGTGTTTATTTTAAGAAGCATATGATCAAAACCTAATCATAAACAGAATAGTTTCATATCATCACTTTTTTGTTTCTGCATTAGATTACTGCATGCTTTTGAACTTGCAAAAAAAAAAAACAACAAATGTTAGAAAAAAATAATGTGTTATATGTTGGTTGTTATATAAAAAAAAAACAATACAAATGTCTTGCACATACGTGAGCGGAGTTCAGCTGGATAAATGACCTTGGATTGGTGTATTCTAATTTATCCAACTCTATGTTCAATATTAGATAAACCAATGTTTAATCACCAAGTATTATTCTCTATTAATGCAGAGTATTTATTTGTTATTCTATGTTATTTTGAATGTACAGCCCAGTTAGCTTCATACACTTGTCCTGTAGTTGTTGTTTTTTTTTTTTTCACTTTTATATTAAATCTTTGTATGTTTATGTCATGTCTTAGAATGAAATGTTTTACTGATTAAAGATTTCTTCCTTTCTTAAATAAAAAAATTATTTAAATTTATTCTTTTAAAAGAAAGTTATCCTAAAATAAGTTTATTATAGATTTAACAAAAACATTATTGCCTTCTCATTGTTATGTTTTTATGCAAATGTATGCGTTATTATATAATGCTATTCCTTATTGAGTGTGATGCACATGTTTCAGACACTCTATCAGAAGTAATACAGACTTGGAAGTGGATTAGAAAAACTGTTAATTTATTTAAAAGCATATTTTTTTGAACATGTATTTAATATGTTGAAAAATTATTGGACAGATTCAAAGTCTCATGTAACCTCTGAAGTGTCTGGTGTATTCTTTTTTTATGTTTGTATATTCTATTTCTTTGTTTTTACATAAGATTTTTTTCATTTTGTCTTCCATGTGGAATTCTTTTGCTTCTAGCCTGCCATGAGAGACATTGAAGTTTGCTGCTTCCTTATTGTTCCATGACACTACTGAGGAGTTTTTCTTTATTCATTCAACAAGTTAGATTTGTCATTGTTTCTGCTGATGTTTAAAGATTAAACTAATTATGTATTAATTATCTGCTGAAAATTTTAAAAAAATCAGGGTTAAATAGTGAGAATTTTTAAAAAATTTGTTATAAAATGAGAAAAGCATCAAATTTACTGACTTTGAAGGATTGTTCTAATATATTTCAAACATATCATAGCACAATTTTAAAAAAAACCTACTTTAAATGATTTGTTGTAAATCTGGCCATAGATTTTCTTTACATGTCTAACAATTGTTGATGTACTGTGATGGTCCCATCAAATTAAGAATGAGGTTTGTTTTTTTTTTTTGTTCAGTTTCAAAAAATTTTATTCAAAAGAATACAAAATTTAACAAATATGCTTGAATGTCTTTCAGTGGTTTTGTATTTCAATTGAAACAAAAAAAAATTATTTTAAAAAAAAAATTGTCGCCATTCCCTATTCACATTTTTTCTTTGTTGTTTTAGTCATTGATACAATGTGTTTATCTTGGAGCTTGTTGTAGTCTGTCTAAATGACTGCTTAGCTGTACTGATCATGTTTCAAGTGTAGTTCTTTTTTTTTGGTTTATATTTACCCTTATAGCATAATTGAGTTTCCAGTGTTTGTATACCTGTGACTGTATTCTTATATTGCATGTCTTGGGCCAAACAAAGGCAAACATTGTCCTGAGAAATAAGTTTAAAAATTTATATTTTGATCGTTTCCATTGAAATCTATGATTGCCTTTTTTAAATTACTGTGATTTTTTTTTTTAGAAAACATAATTATATACAAAACTTTCTAATTATTGAATAGCGATGTGTAGTAATAAAAATATTCCTTTTTTTTTCTCTCTCCAATTTATTTGTTTTTTTTATACCAAACCTATTAAGAAACAGTAACAATTTTTACTCTGCTAAAATAAAAACAAAGTAATATAGCAAAATTCTAGAACCTATATGTTATGGTTATGTTTCTCTTGATTCAAATATTAATGCCAGAAAAAATGTATTAGTTTCGTGTGCTGACTAGTCTTTTGTTCGCTTTTTCCATCTTATGTTAAAAAGTAGGATTGTTTATTTTCAAACTTCCATGGTCAAAGAAACAATACTCAGCTTAGCAATATATTTTTTTGGGTCTTTTAAACCAAAGTGTTAAAGAAACACATTTTTTTTTTGTTGTTGTTGTTGCCTTGTACAAGTGGTTCTAATGTGGATGCAGCGTGGATCTATCTGTTGAGTTAGAAATGCCTTGTGGTGCACCTTCATGATGTTGGAGGGTGAAAGAAGATTTACTTAAGGTCTTGGGTCGAACCTCAGGCTGCCAGATAGCTTCCGAAGCACCTCATTAGACGACCACCAACTTATTTATGTCGATTTCATTCGAATGTCACACTATATGTGTCACAAATCAATATTTTATTTTGTAGCCTAGGGCTAAATATTGCAAATATTATGGCCACTTGGGTTGAATAAAAATATATATATATATATTTGACTATGTGAATGCCACATATTTGATAATATGAAGTGTCACATATTTGATAATGTGTAACATTGCATATTGAAAAATGTGGAATGTCACATGTTTGATAATGTGGAATGTTAAAATTTTATTTTTTGATTTAATAAAAGTTGATGTATTATATTTAAAGAGATTTGTGTCTATACTGATTTGAGAATATGTGTGAATGTGTTTTAGATGCATTTCTTTGAAAACAAAGCAGAAATGTTATTTCCTAAACGAAAAATGAAATAGAATTTTTGTTCGCAGATTGGATTTCTCATTTAGGGAAATTGCGTGAGATGAAAAGCATTTGAAAAGTTTAAAAAAAATATAACCTGGTTATTTAGTTACCATTATCACAAATTATAACATTAAAAAATACTACTTCTAATTACTATGAGCACAGAATAATTCTTTGTCTTTAATTCTTAAAAAAAATGACCTACGCTTTCATAAGTTCATTGTAACAGAAAATTTGTAAACACGTCCGAAAAGGAAATTCGGAATTCTGTGTCTAACGATATCACATGACTATTTTCTAAGTAAAATAATCGATTGGCTCTACTGAAAAGAAAGCTTCCCAGTAAGAGGGGACAACTGCAATAACACATGCAACACTAGGTCTGAACGTGATTGTTGAAGAAGAATTGCAATAAACTCGTTTCTAACCCCTGGGATGTAATCGTGCCAGAGGGTCCTGTTCAATTGTACACACAGAAAGGCTTCACTAGCAAAATGTTCAACACCTAGAATATACATCAAAATAGTTTATGATCAAGTCGATAGTGTAACTTTAACTACTGAATAATGCAACCAGATTCCATGTGGCTTAAGCTCAAAACGTCATTAAAATTGATTTGATTTGGGATCCACGAAAAGGAAGACATATTGCTAACAATTTAAAGAAAACCGAAAAAATTTTAATTTCTTCGAAACATTAAAATGACATTATGTAGTTTAATAAACCGCTGCATGTCGAGCTTAAGGATTCAAGTTCGTATCCAAATGGAGATTTCGGATTTTAAAAATTACAAAGCTTATATCAAGTCACTCTGGTAAAAAGTTTGTACACGTTATTTCTCCGATACCCAATTTCGGATGAAGCTGAAATTTTGCACAATTATCTCTTTTACCCGACAACAAAAGAATCAATAAAATAAAATTAACCAATTAGTTAACTAAATATTGGTAATTAAATATTTTGTTTGGTATCTTGAACAAAGGAAAGAAACTGTACTTGACTGAAGTGGTGTTTGACCTAAGTTAGTCCCATTTATAGGTCGCTGCTTTAAAGTAAGTTTGAAAGAAACAATACATAACTATATAATCTCTAGTCACTTTCTATCCCCCTTCCCCCATGTTCCCAACTGGTCCAGATAAGGGATAGGATCATAGCGTAGTGAGAAAGCTAAAAGCATGAAATAGCGCTAGACAAAAACAATTGGTAAAAATACTTCCAATCACACAGATTTATATTGTTGTTGGTCCAGTGGCGTAGCTAGGAATTCGCCATCATATGGGGGCCCGGGGGTTTGACTTCTTTGGGGGGGGGGGGAGTACACTGCATTTTGCGTAATATTTCATATTTAATTTAAAAAAAAATCATTTGCCACCCCCCCCCCCCCCTCAAGTTGGGGCCCGGTCGATTTTCAAATGTTGGTCCAGTGGCGTAGCTAGGAATTCGCCATCATATGGGGGCCCGGGGGTTTGACTTTTTTTGGGGGGAGTGCACTGCATTTTGCGTAATATTTAATTTAAAAAAAATTCATTTGCCACCCCTCTCTCAAGTTGGGGCCCGGTCGATTTTCAGATTCTCCTCCTCCATCCCACACCCTAGCTACGCCTCTGTGTTGGTCTAAATCTATTATTGTTCGAGATATGTGTGTCTGCTAAGCGTCCACATGTTCACAAACAAGGGTTTGGACTAAAGCCCTGTCCTTTAGTATGCTGTCCTTTAGTACACTGTCCTTTAGTACGCTGTCCTTTAGTACACTTTCCTTTAGTACGCTGTTCTTTTAGTATGCTGTTATACACGAAGACGCGTGGTGCATAATGTTTAGAACGGCATAATTAAAGCGGCTCAATGGCGCTTTATTTTTTTTTTTTCATAAAACAAAGTACACAATAGTCACTAGCTTGATAACAATAGTGATGTACTATTTTTTGTTTTACCAGTTCTGCTTCGTCACTTTTTAAAGACATTCTTCTTCTATATTCTTATAGATGTAAGCTGTACAGTTTTAGATTAAAAAAAAATAGGTAGGCCTACAATATCCTAGAATTATGAGATAGCATACATGATTACTCCTACGTGGGAAGGGGGGGGGGGGCAGAGCAACCGCCTTTATCTCCCTAACGTATGATGAAGCGTCCTAAAAAAAAATCCCGGAATTTAAAAGCCCGGTCTTCAGTGGGATCTGAACTCGAGATCACGACGGTTTGGAGTCAAAGCGTTCGGCCACCACGTCCTTTGTAGGTTAGAGTTGATGTCTTGTTCTATCACAATTCAAAGATAATGTACAATTGTATAAATGAGAACTGGAAATTATCATACTTCAGAGAAAACTAGAAACACGCCATTTTTTTAATGACCTATACAAACTCGATCTACTATTTCGAGTCTAGCAGCCTTAAAGATTTATTACTAATTGCATTTCCTGGCAGCTTCATTTTAACCGGGAATCTCCAGGCTGTAACATTAGTAAGTGTTTATGACTCTCTTTCTGATCAACAAACTCTATTAAGAAATAGTTTATTCATTAAAACCTTTTCTTTAGTTGATGTTTCTATGTTTGTGTATATGTGTGAGTATGTGCGTGTGTGTGTGCCCATGCAAAAAAAAAAATTATATAATTTTTTATTTTAGGGAGAAAGTATCTTGTAGTTCTTTATTTATTTTAGTAAGATGAAAGAAAAATATTCTTATCCTTCACGTCTGAAGGAAAAAAAACAAACTTAAAGTTTGCCGATTGGGAATGTACACATCTTTGATGGTAACTAACAATGACTGGGTCGACTAATGAGTTAATTAGCGGTGTGTACCCTCAAGAGTTGTCTCGTGGGATAACGACAGGCGAGATAGAAGGCACGGTGGTCGTGGCAGATATTTATGTGTGTATAGGCGTCTGTCTGACACGAGTTAAGAGAAGATCTTTCCAGACATCTGCAGGATTGTCCAGGAAAATCGTTATTGAAGTCTTCTGGACTAGGAAGGAAGGGAAGAACCTGTTAGACAACAAAATAGTTTCACAAGAATGGATGTAGAACATTTTTTTAAAGCTATTTTGTGTAAAGCTACTCAGTGATACAAACGTAACATTTTTTTTCTTTCGTAACATAAATCCTCGTAGTATACATTTATACAGATCCTTGAAAAAATGATTATACCTGGCTTACACCAGTTGGCAAATATTTACTTTTGCTAGATTTGTCTAATCTCAAGATTCCATTGGCTGAATATAAAAGTAAAGCAAACGATTGCTATAATATAAAAGTATTAGCACACATCACGACAGCATGTGATGTGTAGAGACACAACTGACTAGGTCTAGATTTGTCTTTTACAATTATTGTTGTTCTTCTTCGTTCTCATTTGACATGTCGGAGAGTTCAGATCAGTCATCCTAGATCTGAGATGAGCAGCGCAGTGGTTTCCAGATCAGCAAGTTCTCCTTATGGCTTCTAGTTTTTATAGGAGGGTTTTGGGGCCAGTGTTGTTCGTCCCCTCGATATAGTATTACAATAGTAGTGTGATTCTTATTTCAAAGACTTAATATTAAGTGAGCCAAATTTTGAGTAAAATTGTCCTAGATGAAGTAAATTAGCCCAGACAGACTAAAAGTGAACAGGATAGTCTACCTCTCACAATCCATTCTAGTAGATTAGTCATCATTTAGGTTTTATCTTATAAAAATTTTTTGACTTAAGTTGAACACAAATATTTTCGCATATTTTGTATCTGACCCAAGAGGCTTTCATCAAAAACCCATTAGATATTAAGTACATGAAACTACCTGCTATCTTTTGAATTATTCAACTTTTGAGAACTCACGATCTGTTGAATTATTCAGTTCCTCAAAATTTGAAAATGTTTAGTAGTATCACTCTAGCACTATTTTAGCATAAATCTAGCACTATTTTAGCATAAATTTATCACTACTTTAGCATCACTCTAGCATCATTCTGGCACTATTTTAGCACCATTTACGGTATAACTGGTCCACTACACCAATGGATTCAGGATTTCCTGATAAGTAAAGAACAAACTGTAATAATTAATAGCTACAACACCAATAACAATAAATTCTGGTGTATCTCAAGGCACACATTTACATAAATGATCTACCAAATTGAATTAGTTCAGGAACAAAAGTCAGCTTATTTGCAGATGATTACATAATATACAAAACAATAAAAACAATACAAGATACAAAAATTTGTACAAAAAGAATTAAAAGAATTTTAGAAATGGGAATCAAATTAGAGCATGTCTTTACACCCAAAAAATACCAATTATAAAGAGAATAAAAAAGCAAAAAGAATTAAAAACTAAATATTCATTTTTATAGCAAACCAGACTAAAAAAAAACTAATAGATGATAGATGATAAGTCAACATGTAATTAACATATTAATGTGATTATTTTTATTATAGGGTTTATTTAAAGAAATGTTTACAAATTAACAAGAACATAAAACATAAAATTGTTATTTAACCTTGGTAAGACCAATTTTAGAATATGTGTACTCTGTTTTGAAACCTTTAACTCAAAACCCCCCCCCCCCCCCTTCATCCCGTTTGATCGTCTTATGAGCTGAGCCGAAGGTTCTTCGAGCTCAAAGTTTGAAAAAAAAAAACTGTACCTGGACGCCAAACAGTAAAAAAAAAAAAAAAACCTGTGAGAACACAGTTCTGTTTGAGAGAGACCCGAGTCAATGCCTATGTAAAGCATTGCTATTTCCGATGCCTTTGGCCCCCGACGCATGCTTGGCTGCACATGGCCGAAGGCCGAGGACACCAGGAGCCTCCGCCATTTTCCTTCGTTATGCCAAGCTAACCGTGGGGGACACGCCATTTATGTAACGGTTCCTTGAGGAACAGCGCATTGATGTGTGACAGGATAATGAGGACTCTTTTGCAACCCCGCCC